TCATCAGATTCGGGTTGCAACCTCAAAGATCTCATGACAGCTAAAGTAGTAGCAGCGGGGAGGGGGCGGCACTTGGGAGGCGAACGTGCTTCTGTCGGCTCGCTCAGTGTCCTTGATGACCAGCAGGGATTGGGGTTGCCGTGCGCGAGGGTGCGGTGCGGTGCGGGTGTGAGGCATCGGCGCTGCTCGATTAGCGTCAGGTCCACGCTCCACAACAAGGACTCGCTTGCTGGTTGCATGCCATGCCATGCCATGCCATGCCAGACTTGTGCACTCACACTCTGACTGGAGGACGCCGAGCGGCAGCTGCCGGCTTGCACGCTTCGGGCCCGTCTGAAGGCGGAGACAGATTGGCAGAGGCCCGGCCGCCGCCTTGTTCATCCGCTAGCCGCCTCGTGTGCTCTTTGCATCTTGTCAGCCGAATACTCTGTCTCCCACCATTGGGACAGGAACGCAAGATGCAGACAGGCAATTTGCGAGAGTCGAGTCGCCGCCGCGTCTTGCTGCGACGAGCTTTGTCAAGCGACATGTGCGCTCACAGCTCGACAAACTTCGTGAATGGCCGTGGCCGGGATGCGATTGGCGCCGTGAGGAGATCGCGGCGCGTCCTGACGAGCCACTCGCGCCTGCCACGACACGTTCAAATCTTTGGCAATCCCCTTGCCTCCTTGATTTCACGTAGCGTACGACGAAAGATTCCAACAGACTAATAGACTCGATCTTCAAAGAAGAGCAACCTTCTTCTTTGTCACCACCATCCTGGTGTATCCCATCACAAAGACAAGCGGCCGTTCACATCTGAAAACTACCAAACGAGACAAGCTGCGGCAAGACACTTTCAAAATGGCTGTGACTGCTCATGATGCGCCTATGCGTCTGCATCACCAGCAAGAGAGTGTGGCTCCTTCAGCCTATCCATTGGATGCAAAGAGGCGCAAGCTTCGAGTCGCCATCATCACAGGTGCGCGACCGCAGATTGCGCAGCTTGCTGTCTTGATTCCGCGGCAACCTCAGCCCCGTGTCGTCCAGCTGACCCTCCTCCCCCCAACGTCTGTCTCCAACAGAGAACTTTTTGCCCAAAGTAGACGGTGTTACGCGTACGCTTGCGCGCCTGCTCGAGCATCTCAATGCGGAAGGCCACGAAGCCATCGTATTCGGGCCCGAGACTGGCATGGTAAGTGATCTCCTCCCAAGGAGCGCAAAGCGTTCAACGATGCACTCTGGCAATCTCCCAGAGCTTCACTTTCTGACTCTTGTTTTTGCTATGCTGCTGCTGAAATTTAGACAAGCTACGCTGGTCATCCGGTCGTTGGCACTTTTGGTTTACCGCTGGTCATCTATCCCGGACTCAAGCTCAACTTCTTGAGACCACGTTTCATTCGGAGGCTTCAGCAATTCAAGCCAGACGTTATCCACTTTGTCGATCCAATCTGGCTCGGCGCTCAGATGCTGCCCGTCGTCCAGAAATGGTTGCCGTTGGTGCCGTGCGTCTCGTCTTATCACACCAACCTGCCCACTTATGCCACCCTCTTTGGCATGCCATGGCTCGAGGCGACAATGTGGAAGCTCACCAGGAGCTTGCATGACCGCTGTGAAATGGTCTTTTGCCCCTCTGAAAGCACCAGGCGCATGCTGCAAGGCAAAGGCTTCTCCAACGTCAAGATTTGGAGCAGAGGTGTGGACACGGAGATCTTCAACCCTCAAGCGAGGGATGACAATTTGCGCGCAAGTTGGGGTTGCACACCAAAGCCAGCCAATCTCGTGGCGCCCCTCACTCCCTCGATCTCCAACACAGGCGACGAAGCTGCCCTCGTGCAGCTCGCTGCCAAGCTCGGAGTCAGCGTGCGTCTGCCCATCAAGAGGCGCAGTCTTGGCGCAAGTCCGGATGACGAAAGCTTCATCCGCACGCCACCAACCGGTCCAAGCCTTGCCGGCAGTCCCGAGCTCTCTCCCCCGCCCTCCTACGACAGCCTCGCTGGCATTCCAGAGCTCGAGAGCGCCAACTTTGCCTTGCCTCCGCCGGCTATGCCAACGCCCAGTGCCAAGCCAGCAGCCACCGCTCCTCCACAACAAAACCTGCATCCCGCTGAAAGCCGCACGGTCATCCTTTACGTGGGTAGAATATCTTGGGAGAAGAATTTGCGTCTCTTGATCGAAGCTTTCAAGTTGCTACCGACAGCCGTTCGAAGCAATGCCAAACTAGTTTTCGTCGGGGATGGCCCTGCGCGCGGTGAGCTCACGCGCGTTTGCAGCAGGCTCGGACTCGACGCCAGTTTCATGGGTCATCAAAAGGGAAAGCGCTTGGCCGCAATGTACGCTAGCGCTAGCGTATTTGCTTTCCCCAGCTTCACCGAAACCTTCGGTCAAGTCGTTTTGGAAGCTCTTGCGAGCGGACTGCCAGTGGTCGGTTTGCACGCAGAGGGAACTTCTGACCTCGTCACCCACGGACGCACCGGCTTATTGCTCGACGTGGCTGCCGCCGCAAAGTCCGCAAGCAGCATCAGCGCCTCGTCCGCACTCGGCAACGGCAAGGAGGCAGCTTCGGGCGCCATCAGCGCCCCCGCTTCGCCTCGATTGGCTGCTTTGCGAGCTTCAGCATCATCGACTGCCAGCCGATCCGATGTGTCGGCAAGCACTGCCATTGCAGACTTTGCTCAAGCAGCATCCACCGCTGCCGCAAAGTTGCGACCCGCGTACGAGCGAAGCGGCTCTTCGTCTTCTCTCACCGGTGTTCTTTCTCGCAGCTCCAGCAGCGCTAATGCAGTCCCTTTGGCCCCGACATCTGGTCTTGCAAGCCCAATCCCATCGGTTGGCGACTTTGCCGCTGCAATGTCCACATCTTCCGCCGCTTTTGCCGCCTGCGCTCGCAGTTACAGCATGCTCCTAGAGCGTCTCATCAGGGACAGAGCGCTCAGAGCTGCGATGGGCCAGCGTGCTCAAGTCGGGGCTTCGCGCAAGACGTGGTGGGACGCTATGGACGCCGTCGTTCAGGGCTACGAAGAAGTGGTGGAGAAGGCTGGGATCTACAGTCTTTCCGACGAGGAGCTCGAGGCGCTCAGGGCGCGACAGCAGCGCAACGCGCCCCTTACCGGCCCAATTGTAAAGATGTGCATTGTCCTCTATCTCGCTCTTTTTCTTTTCATCTGGACCGCCTTCTTGGGATAGTCTTTGCATAGGTCGACCCACAAAGCTCCAGCCTGCCACGCCGCCAACCCTTCCGAATACCCTTCTGTCGAATCTCAATTATTGGGATCAGACACATTTGCATGTCACATTCGATTCTTTCACGACACTCAGTTCCACGAAATGTATGCGTGCATTGTAGACAAAGGTATTGCTCCTCGCGCAGTACACGGCCGAAGATGATTCGAGACGATTTGCCTGCTTGTGACCGCAGACACCGAGATGAGACGGTAGAGATGTCTTCCTTGACCGATGGGTGTCCCATCATGGCATGCCTGCTAGCTGTCACCTTTTGATGCTCTGAAATAGAGTTTTGAGGCCTTTGCGACGGCTCTTTGTGCTTGTGACGCTCTCTGCGTAATCTTTATCTTTACCTAAAGACGTGCCAGGAAGCACACCTGAATGCGAAGAGATTGGAGTTCCCGAATTGGTGACAGAGCCAATCGCGGAGCTCGAAGATGCGTAGGGATCAAAGTCGGGCGGAGCATGGAAGAAGGACGAGAGCTCAGATTGAGATCTTGGCGGAAGCGACAGCAGGTGCTGTGGGGTACCTAGGGCTTGTCCGGGCCCCTGCGCGACACTCGATCCGCTCGATACTGATCCCGCCATCTTTCGGCCGACGGCACGACCTCCACTGCCATTTCCTGCGCTGCTGGCTGTGGGCGTCGGGGACGCACTGGGAGTGGTGCCACGCGGGGACGGAGGGACCGGGGGGTTGCCTTTGACAGCATTTGGCACAGAGCTCGTCTTCTGAAAGGCAAACTCAGGTCGAGGTGCGAGCAAAGTGGACGTTGACTGAGGAAAGAGCGCGTCCGTGTGATTGGAGAGCGGGACGGCAGAGTCGGTATGGCGGGTAAGGGACGCGAGCTCAGTTGGTAAGGAAGGGCTGTGTCGATGAACTGGCTGAGCGCCAGGTGATGACTGCGACCGACCAAATCCATCAACCCCTGCAAATGAGGGAGTTCTGATTTCGCGATCACCGCTTGGGTCTTGAGAGATAGCCTGAGTGGATCGCGCAGAACCGATCTCAGAATCGCCAGCGCGTGAGAAGTTTGTTGATCGCAATAGGTCTTCGCTGGCTCGGGATTGGATCCATCCTCCGTGGACATTTGCGCCGGGTCCAAAAGACCGGTCCGCCGGTTTCGTGCTCGTAGAGCCCGCCGTTCTTGCTGGCATCGTCAGCCCAGCAGAGTGCGGCGGTTGTAGGGCAGCCTTGTGAGACGCACGATCCGCTGGCAGAGGGGGCGCGCGCTGTTGCTCTGCGAGGAGGACAGCAAAGCGAGAGGGTTAGCTTTCGATCGCCCGTCCAGATTCCAGACCCACGCAACGTGCGGCTCACTCTCACCTGCAAAGATCGAATTCGCTGGGACAGTCGATCCTGCGGCTTTGCGCCTCGCTGCCTCTTGGCTCGTAAGAACAGCTCGGGGCGTTTCGGTCTCCGCTGGGGACGCTGCCTTCGACCTGGCAGACCCTAGTTGGCCAGTAGACGGCTGCAGAGCTTGCGCTCTTGTGCCTGATTCTGAGGTGGAGCGTCCAAAAGTCCGCGGCGAACTCGGCGATGTTGGCGTAGCTGCTGCGCTTGAAATGTTGCTTCTCGCAAGAGCCAGTGCTGCGGGAGGTGGCGAGCGAACGCTAGAGACTGCATTGTCATGGATGTAGCGGTCATTTTCAGCCACACTCGGCAACTGCGAGCGCCCGGTCAGACTCGCCCCGCTCGCTTGGCGGCGAACCGCCCGACTAGCGGCGAGATCCGCTTGGAGAGCAGCTTGGGGGACAACAACATCGGACGAGTGCCTCTCCTGCGCCAAAGCAGCGCCATAGGCAGCTAGCATCTGCGAGAGGCTTACGCCTGACTCTTCGTCTTTGGGTGTTGTGCCATCGCTGCCCAACTGATCGGCTTGTCTGAGAATCGCTTGAGCCTGGTCCGCGGCGCTGAGTGGAGTAGCTGCCGAACGCAGGGAGGAGGAGGAAGCACGACTGGCCACGCTGCCAGCGTTCGAGGCAGATCTTATTCCGCGTGTTGCAGCTGGAGACGGTGCGGAAAGACCGAGCCCAGTTCCCTCAGAGGCACCGCTTCCCACAAGCCGCCGGGGTGAGTCATGTGGAGAAAGGCGCATGGAGTCTAGCTGCGTGGCGCCTGCGCTTTGAGTTCCAGAAGGGATGGAAGGCGCGGCAACGGCATGAGAGCCCGAGGCAGAGCTCGAGCTGGCAGCCGAGAGGGAGCTCGAACTTCCGTACCGAGGTAGCTGTGGGAGCTGCGGCTGCATTGGGCCGCCGCTGTTGACGTGAGGACTGGACCCGTTTGATGCCTGGGGTCGATTTGCCGACGAGCTTTTGGAGCTTGAGGAGTGCTGCCGGCTGCTGGGACATTGATCATCCGAGGAGGAGGATGCGTGAAGTGGGACAGGCCGCCCGGCGTTGGGACTTCGCGATGCGGTCGCCGATCGTAGACGATCTGGGAGGCGATGCTTGTCATGATGCTCGCCAGCCTCATCGTCAGTAGCTGGCAATGGTACGTCGCCCAGAAACTCTTGCGCATCCTCGAAAAGCACATCGTCCACGCTCTCTCGGGCGCTTGGAGAAGCCTGTTCAAGCGCGAGAAGCCTTGTGCGTGGCGACAGCGCTGGGTTCCCCGCAGCTTCGACGACGAGAGGGGCTTGAGAAGTGAGCGTCGGCGCCTGAGCTGCAGTCACAGCACTGTGAGAGCGTGGTCGCCGCGCCAAATGCTCTGGATGCGCGCGATCATTCGGTTCCAAGCTTTCTTTGTCCCAGCCTGGTGTGCCTGTCGCAGCGTCTGTTTCAAGAGGTGCCCGACGCCCAAGAGGGGAAGTCGTAGCGGACAGATTCGAGCTCTTCCTCGGCCTGTAGTCGTGTGCAGCAGACACGATTTTGCCCGATTGGCCAGCGCGACCAGAGGTAGCCGCATTTCCAGTGGCGTCTGCAAATGGCGATGAGATCGCTGGTCTGTACGGGCTGCTATTCGAGCCTGACCGTCCACGCAAAACGTCCGTGCTCTGGCGAGACGTGATGGGCGGAGGCATATCCTGATGCTGCCGCTGCGCGGGATGCTGAGCGATGGGCGACGAGCGCCCCAGCGCCGCCGGCGAATGGGTATGGGTGGAAGTCGGTGCGTGCACTCCGCTCTGGACCCCTCCATTGCTTTGTCCCATTCCGAAGGAAGCCTGACCAGCCGGTGCTGAACTGAGTCTCATCTCTCGGTCCAGAGAGGAGAAGCTGCTTTGCGAGGCTAGCCGACTCATGGACTCTCCTGAGACCGAAGTGGCGAGTTGAGCATCATCCGATCGCGGTTGAGACCTCCAAGCAGCTTGAGATGAAGGAGTGTCTGTCCCTGCTGTCCCGGTGGCTTTTCTTAGCATATTGGACAAACTTCGTTTCCCTCCCATGCGACCATTGAGGCGGTGCGGGCTGGGAGGAGGCGCATTGTGTGGCTCTTTGCCTCCTGCACCACTATTACTTCTTCCATGCCGATCTGCTAGCTCCTCAATAGCATCGTTGCCCCCCAAGGAGAACAGATTGGCAAATTGAGAGGGGTGAGAGGAAGAGGCGGTGTTGGACGTTGAAGATGTCAAGGCTGCTCGGATCGACGCTGCGGGATGGGCAGCCTTCTCGAACAAAGACGGCAAAGAGGGACGGCGTTTACTCTCCTTGGTCCCGTCATGCCCGCGAGACCCACGAGGAAGCTGGGGCGCGGTTGTGCCACTGGAAAAGCCGAGATCATCGTTGTCGCTTAAGTCGTCAGGACTAGTAGGACGCCCAGGCGAGGCTGGCCAGTACTGCGAAGGTTGCGAGCTTTGCTGCGTCGGAAGTGGGGGCGGAGATGGTTGGCGAGGCGACGCGTGCAACGCAAGCTGCTTGAGGTTAGGATTCGAATTCATTTTGAGCAAGGCTTGATTCCTTCGATTGAAGAGGCTCGCTTTGACTCCTGCTCCTGCCGAAGTCAAGTGATCAAAGGACCTTTGACTACGTAGATCTAAGGTCGAAGCGCTGTTCTTGCTCAAGCTGCCCATATTCGAAGCGGGAGGGCTGTAAAATTTGCCAATGCTCGACACACCAGCGGCTGTCCCAGGACCAGTGCTGGAGCCAGCCGCTGCACTGCCAGACAGCCCATTAGGACCATGCTTGGAGAGCCAGTCTCTGAGTATGATGACGCAGGCTTGATGCCCATTTGCAGCTGCGAGCATGTCCGCAGAGAAAGCCTCCATATCCTGGGCTCCAGGTCGAGCGCCGTGCTGTAGCAGAAGGCGAACAATGGCGAGATGCCCGTTCGCAGCTGCGAAATGCAGGGGAGTAGAGCCTTCAGCGCCAGGTCCTAGCTCCTGACCTTTCGGTTTCACGCGCGGCGCGTTCACGTCAGCTCCGTAGGCCAGTAAGAGTCTTACAACGTGCTCATTCCCCCCCGAGCAAGCCGCGTGCAAAGGCAGAATGCCATTAAGCATGCTCGAATGAGGTTGTCCGTTGTCCAGGGCGAACTTGACCGATCCCACGTCTCCGCTGGCTGCAGCATGGTGAATGCCCAGATTCGGATGCATGTACTCCCCAAGAGCATCCGACATTGATCCGCCAGCACCGCTGCCTGCATTGCCTGAGCTGCTGCTGCTGCTGTTGTTACCGAGCAGAGTCGCGATTGCACCACTGCTTCCGCCGCCTCCTAGACCAGTGCGAGCGGCCGCGGTTGCTCGAGCAGAACGCAGCATGGCTGGGACGCCTGGGGTTTCTGGGCAGGTATGGTCAGAGAGGTGATCTGCCAGGACGGGGACCCTGATGCGCTACTCACAGAGAGGGTCAGAATGATTGCAAGAGGCTCGAGATGGTGCAGGGACAGCTTCCAGGATCCATTCGCACGTCACAGCAGCGCCACACGACTCCTGAAAGGTGTGCTGGCCCTGTGACAAAGGTGGCGTCAGACGCCGAGCTTGCAATCCATGAGAGCCCTGGATGTCCCTCAAGAAATCCACGGTGCAGACAATTCAAGTCGAAGTGCCGTCAAGGGCGAGTGAGCGGATGGGCGTTTGGGTATTATGAGCTGAGATGTGGACGCGTGTTTCTATGACTAAGGCTCGACTGGGCAGGGATCGTCTATAAAGCGCTGAAAGGCTGCGCGCCGGCTTGGCTCAGCTGTCCACAGGTGCCCAGACCGCGTGTTGGTTGGGCGGCAGAAGCTCGCGACCGGTGAGAGCTTGTCTTGTTGCTTTAGTCTGCTGGCGGGCTGTGACTGAGCAGAAAGACAGCTTCGCAGAGGCACGATAGGGTGTCAAGTGGCTGGCGTGCAGCGAAGCGAGTGTACTTCTATAGGCTTGGCACGTAAGATGAGAGTCGACTTGTGTGGCACCACTGGCGATTGTTACGTGATGCAGAGCGAGAAGAGTGGGGAGAAGGCTGGAGGTATAGCGGCGGCGATTTGCGTAGACGTGACCATCAGGGTCTTGGCGGTAGGGGTCGAGTCCCTTCTTCAGAGCGCCGGCCGCTCAGCGACTGCAGGGCTATTGCCACTTTTGCAATATCGGGTCGACTTGGATGGCGCGATGATACGGAGATGGAGGAGGGGAATGTATGGAGGGATGAATATATAGATGCAGCAAAGCGATGAGCATCATTCAGGAGCGATCAAGGACCTCGACGCCACGACCGCAAGCAAGCCGGCCCTTCCCTTGAGCTGCAGCAAGTCTCGGATCGCGAACATGCCATGCCGCCTGTGCATACCCGTATACCCGCACCCGCACCCGCACCCGCACCCGCGTACACCTTGCTCGTACTCAAGACTCTCGATCGTACTAAGACTCTTGACTCGTGACTCTGACTCACGAGTCACGACTGTTGTGTGCGGTCAAGCTGTACGCTACGCTTCTCCTTGCCCTGTGCTGACCTTGACTCGTGACTGCCGTACCCGCATGTAACGCACTCAGAGTGTGCGCATGTATGCTATGGAGGTGATGTAGGGCTGCAATTCAAGATCAAGTGGCGGCGCGTCACCTCATCATCGCCCTTGGATTGAGTTGACCTGCTCATGCATGCTCTTTGACGATTCAAATTTCTGATTCTTGATTGGAATCCACGGTTGCAGCAAGGCTTGCTTGCTTGGGCCCGTCACAAGCTCGCAATTCGAGATTACCTGTACCGGTATGCGCATAGACACATTGTGAGTCACCTCGATCTGTGTTCTCTGCCGACTTTATCCACGAGAATCTCGATCCGCGCTTCTGCATCTCCTTGCAAAGCGTCTTGTCGATATGCTCACATTCACACCACAGCCCGCGATCCCACCGCTGCACCCTTCCATCGTGACTGCAACACAGCACCAAATTCACGAGTGTCGACGCCCGCTGCACGGAGGAGGAGGAGCTTCTCAAGCGAATGCTGCTTAATTGGGCCCGCGCGTTATTCCCATGCAACACTACCCCCTTTTCATCTCTGCCAGCAGCAAGTTTCGAGCCTTAGTCGTGAGTCTGGGTGGGGACACGAATCAGACTCAAGACTGATGCTGGATGACAAGATCTCTTCTGTCTTGTCACATGCCCTGGTCAATGGTCACGGGGAGTCTGCACCCACGCTCGCGGCACTCGTGCTTCCTGATTTGCTCTCGATCTCTCTGCGTAGTGCGTGGGGCTGAGCCGACGTCTCGCCAGCATGTCGGTGCTTGCTTGCCTATTGATTCGCAATTTGATCGATAAGCTGTCGGCTGGCGGCAACGCCCGTCAAGCAAGAGCAAACCCTGCAATCAAGAATCACAATCACAATGTTCAGTTTGTGGATTTGGTGCGTCATCTCGAGTGAGCTTGCACGCTCGAATCACCGCGCATGTCTGCAAGCCTTGAGTGAACGTATCAGGCTGCATGGGTGCTTGCACACTCACACTCACACTCACACTCACACTCACACTCACACTCACACTCACACTCACACTCACACTCACACTACTCACACTCAGCAAGAGTCAGCAGCAGCAGCAGCAGCAGCTAAGCGGCACGCACCATGCAACCATGCACAGCATACACTCGGTCATGAAGCGCGCGTACATTACCTACACGCGCGCCGCACGGACCTCCTTCCAAAAACGGATTTTGGCTGGGCGGCAGATATGCTCGTCTCGTGACCCTCGCTCGACCTCAGGCTGATGCTGCTGGTTCTTGCATGCACCATCGATTTAAATCACAACAATATTGAATGTGAATCTTGAATCTGAATGCAAGATCTCTTCCTGTTGGATATCCGCATTCGTGATCGTGATTCAGAATCGTGAATTGGTGATTGTGTGCGGACGCTCCACGCAGATCACCTCGGCTTCTCGCTCTCAAACAAGCAGAGATCGTCTTCATCCACCCGCCAAAGTCGAAGAGTTGCGTGGCCATTTGTTGCAATCTCCAATCCCCTTCGCGGCCTCTTCCTCGACCTCGCTGATCGGCGAAAGTCAGGCTTGTCGGGACTTCAGACAAGGTGCTGTCACTGCGCCTGCCACCTCCCGCCAGATCGCAGCATCGGCACGTAGCTGGTGACAGAGCGTCTTGAGGCGCGCAGGAGCGGGAAAAGTCAGCACTACTACTGCCTCAAGCATAGCTAGCGATCACAGTCAAAGCATGAGGTACGTGCGCACACACCCAAGCCACTTGAAACGTTGTGACCCATCGCGCTAATGCTAGAGCCTTGCCACTTCCAGTCGCAAGCAAAAGAGCAGCACCTCCTCCTTGCCTCCGGGTCAAATCTACTCGCAGCCGAGTCTGACCGGATCTGGAACGCACGACTCGGCAAAGCTCGCTTTGGCTGTGGATGCGCTCAAATCGGAAAAGTCGCCCGTCTCTCTGGATGACTTTGCCATTCGACATGGACTCGAGGCGCTGTTGAGGGATCAAAGCCTGCTGCTCAGGTTCAAGGAGCATGAGAGAGTGACTTGGAATGAGAAAAGCGGGAGCTATAGCTACAAGGTGATTGCAATAGTTCCAGATCAAAAGCAGGTGGGATGGATACACGGTCTGCCAAGGCGTTGCACCTGACACACCTACCCCAACGCTCCCGCACCTTGAGCCCGACTTTGACCTGCGAAGTCCAAACGATCTATTGCATCTATTGGAGCAGAGATCCAAAGCTTCAGCTCCAGGAGGACTGTCTGCGGGCATGAAGATCTCGGAGCTTCGCGAGTCATACGATCATGCCAGAGATGCAGTCGAAGATTTTACAAAGCACGAGCCAAGGGAAGAGCGCAAGGTGCTGGTGCTTCGTGGGCTCAAGGACGGCCTGATTCGACACGTGTACTGGAACGAGATCAGAGGCTCAGATTCAAAGCCGGTAGACGACGGTTGGTTGGAAGCGCTGTATTACGCCCTTTTCAAGCCCCTCACACGCCTCACGATGCCTTTCATCCCTTCATCTCTCGATAGAATTCAAGGAGCTGTGGCATGCCCAGAAAGTTCCCGACGCTGTCGATCTGCCCAAAGCCTTGGCTGCAGGTAAGGAGAGACGCTCTACTATCGAACGCGAACGCAAGGCCCTAACAAGCTCACCTGGGTCGTGCTTCTCCTTCCACCGCAGAGGGGCTTCAGATGGCAAAGTCCGACGAGAGCAGCAATCCAAATCCACAGGCTGCGCGAGGAAGAGGCAGAGGTCGTGGGCGCGGAAGAGGAGGGTTCTCTGGTCGCAAAGTCAAGGTGCAAAACACTCATTTGGAAGGTGTGGATTTGAGCAAGGACTACGTGTAGACAGCTTAGCTTGGTCTGCATGGTCATTCTTCAAATGACTGGCTGATGTGGGACATCGTGAGCTCGATCTCCCTCTTATGTGGCTGCAACCGCTCGCAATACGACATCTACAGGAACTCGTCCCACACAAGGATGTCGACGCTGCCACATTTGCAAGCGGGCACAAGAGGTTGACCTGCACGCATTGTAGGAGCCCTAGAGTCTAGCGGAAGCGGATGGTCGCTCTAGCCACACAACCAGGAGTCCGTACGAGGCCCCCTAGCATGGTGTGTTGCTACTATTGCTTGGAATGCTGTACGTCTGCAGACACAAAGCACGTCTGGCCTCGACAATCGTGTCGAGTGCGACTTTGATCGAGACGATTCGGAATGTAATTTGCGTGTTTGACAAGCACGATGTCGGCTGACGCGAAATGCGCCAATCGTTCGCGGGGTCCCCGAATCTCATTTCTGAAGCTGCGAAAGCTTTGCGGGGGTTTTCTGAGCTGAGCGCGGTAGGGGCTTGCTCGCTGGCATCTTGGCAAAAAGCAAGCAAGGCTCGTTGCAGAGGGTGCAAGAAGCTAATCACGGTGCTTGGCATGTCGCGGCGCGTTCTTGCGCTGCTTGCCTTCGACCCGTCAGCGCGCGTTCCTCGACTGCTGGTGACTACACTTTCGACGAAACAAACACGAGATTCGAACTGCTGTCTGCATGCATGGGTGCCAAGATTGCTTGGTCCTTGGCGCGCGCACTCGCCCGCGTCAAGGGGCGCAGCGTTGCGCACGCAGACCGCATTGCAGCCGGAGCAGTCACGATGGCGACTCTGACTACAGCTAGGTCAGCTCAATACCGTACTCGAGCAAGCAGAGCAATCTGTGATGGCAACACAGGTCGAGATGGGCCGGCCGGCCGAGGCGGGTGATTGATGAATTAATGAGTCAAGTCCGACGGAGAGCTAGATCGGTGACTCTGTCGCGGTGCATGCACAATCACAATCACGAATACCGATCGATGCAGAGTGATTGAATGAAACGAGCAGATGAATGAATAGTGAATCGTGAATAGATCATGATACGCGACCCTTCAGGGTCTTTTTGGCTCACATGCAAAGCTCCTCCGCACATGACGAGGATCAAGCGCTGCCTGCCTGCCTGCCTGCCTGCCTGCCTGCCTGCCTGCCTGCCT